GTTGAGTAAAACCCTGACTTCAAAGTTTCATTAACAAGTTTCCTTAATTCTCATACACATCTCTCATTCCACTTGCAATACTTAAGCCAGTCCTGGTGTGGTTCCACAGCACTCTGACCTTGTTTATATTCATCTCCACTTCAAATCAGTCTGTTGTGAGCAGATGTCATATCTTCCTAATCCTAGCTAGATACTGTAGCTTGCATATGATAACAGCAAAATTGTTTGAAATTCTTCAAATTAATAAATACCCAGGCCATGAATCAATTACTAAGATGCTAATGACACAGCAGAATGAACTATTTCTTCTAAAATATGTGCACCTTAAACAGATTAATACTGAAGTAAATGAATCTAATTTATTAATAAGGCTAATACTGGGTTGTTTTCCCAGAAGTTGACCAAATGAATGGAAGTAATTTTGGGGGCAAGTGACTTTATGTCTTCAGATTTCCTTTCCCCTTACCCATCACAAAGATAGTTCAAACATAATGACTATGAGTGCTTCTGGGCTGGCTGAATGGCTTTTTAAAGTGTCTTCTCCCTGTAAGAATATCCAATTTCAGTATTTCTAAATACAGACAGAAATCAAAGGCACATGAGAGACCCATATTTACATTAAGTTTTGTGAAATAAGGGAAATAGTTGTTGGAGTTAATGAGAATACTAGATTGAATTTCCTTGCAATTGCTTGTTTAGTCATTTGTCTTCTTCACTAGACTGTTGCTAGAGTAGGGTATTTTATGCATACAGAACTTCCAGCCAGGTATCTTGCACACAAACATATACATGTTTAATGAATTCTGGGGGAAATGGTTTCAAAGTGTTTCTCATGGCATGTCTGTAGCACATAATCTGAATGCCAAATCCTGAGAACAAAATCAGTATTAGCCATCACCTCTTACAATGAGCCACATCAGTATTTTTCAGGTTACAAATGCCTTTCTTAATATCCAGCTCCATCAGAGAAATTAGGCAATTGTGACACCAACTTACAAACTGATTTATCAAGAGCCCTGTTTCCTGCATAATGACCATGTGCCTCACAAATGCTTTGTCTTACACTTATTTGTAGAGTGACAGAACATTAGCTGCAGATTTAATGCCACCATAGTTGTAATTTGCATGCCGATGAAAAGTTAACATAATGTAGAAATGTGGAATTAGATTGGTTGACTGAGCAGCAGCCCTGCTAAGATCTAGTTCTCTATCCTCATTATTTCGTTTTTTTGCTTATTGTATTTGTTGCTTTCTCTCATTACTCACAAAATTGCAAAATAAGTCCCCAAGGATGCATGAGCACAGGGTTTCTGAAAATAGTATTCGGATGGTTTACATAATGGGAACTATGAAGCCAGTCCATTCTTCATTGTAAAAGCCAGTGCTCTCCTGCTTTAACTGACCCACAAAAACAAGTTTTCAGGGGATAGATGTACAGGTTTTTCTTAGTTTAGGTGATACTTGTAAGAATAAAGAGTAAGTGTGACTTTTAGTGACACTGAATCCACAGTGGGAACTATCTTGGGAAAAAGAAATGACATAAAAGTTATTATCCTCTTCTGATCAGGGTAAGAGGAGAAGGAGTAAGGCAAAGTTTTTTTCTAATATGAAGTTTGGAACCAGTAAATAAAACTACGGTTGGCAAAATGCAAGAGAAAAGTTGCATAAGTTCTGTTTGCTGGTGAGATTACAATCATGGAACAATGTAATGTGCTTGTTGTATTTTAATTTTGGAAGGTAGAGGCAAAGCAGAAAACAGAACCAGCTGGCCCTGTCAGTCGAACTGTAATTTTGTGGAGTTAGTGGGAAAACTCCAAGCAGCACTATGGAGTCTATGATCTCTGTAAGGTACTGTCCTCCCCATGTCTCACTGCCTGTATCTAAAGACTTAGTGTCACCACACATATCTGTACTTCATTCAAAGGAGGAAAATAAACATAACTGCATTTATCCTCCATATTAAGAATCATTCAATCAACAGAGTTAGAGAGATAAAAGTCATTTGAATCATATGTATCAGAGGACACATGGAATTTAGAGATGAAAATAAGTACTTTAAAATGTGGCAAACTTTTGTTGACCTAAGTGATACTGACTAGCTTTATTAGTGACAAGCAGTGATACAAGTGTCTGAGGACAGAATTCTTTTCCAACTTCTGCATGCACATTTTATAGTTCTGTCTCAATCCCCTCCTCTATCCAAAGCTTCTTTCAGAATTGGTCAGTAGAGAAATGAATTTCTAGAATTCAGCCTTCAATTATGGTGGATTTACATATGTATGAGATAGATAATACACTGTTCTGCCTGAAACATTGTAGATTCCCATTTCTATGATGAACAGATTTTAAAATAATTTCCTATTATAAATTTCTGCTTTTAGAAAATAGTGAAAATCTTGTTTGACTCAACAATGAAAAAAAGTTAGGAACAAACCTTATGGAATGAGTGCATAGAGGAAAATTTATCAATGGTAAATTGAGGAAAAATATTTTTAAAGTTTAAAGTGAAGCAAACAAAAAAGTACATGAAAATATATATTCCTAGTAAGATTTTATTGAGAACAGTAAATCAGATCCTTTATACAATATGTAAATACCTATGACACCAGCCCTTCCTAGCAAATGACAATATAACATTGGAATGGGTTCCCTGAATATCCCAAATACTGTTTATATCTATTAGAGAAACAGTTCCACAGCCCAACAACACAGAACATACAGGAAAGTGCTCTGACCTGTTCCAGAAATGGAGTCAAAATTCAGTGTGACTAATCAAGGACTGAAGTTCTGGAAGCTGAAGGTGTCTATAAAGAAATGTTCACTGCTTACATTTCTACTTCGAAACCAGCTGGGAGAAGGCAGGATATCGTAAGCTCAGACACAAACTAACCAGAGGATGTAGGAGCTAAGTCTATCTCTCAATTCAGATAATAAGGACAGAAAATATCCTTAGATCCCCTTTTACCTGAAACTCTACCTACCACGGAGGCTTCTGATGCCAAACAATTGGAACTGACATAAAGATGAAAAGGGAGCCACATTACTCTCAGGATTAAAGACGGACAGTTCAGATGAACTACAGCCCATGGGATCCCTGGAAATGACCAGGATAATGTTAGCATTTTTATGATGCAAAGCTAACCACTGCAGTTTCACCACTACATGAGCAGAAGCATATGGCAGGATAAATGAGCACTGTTTGACAAATTTTCAAGGCTTTGCCACCTAGTGTTTGCATGGAGATAAGCAATGTTACAAGTTTTCTGGGAGGCAACAATGGGGAAGGTTTGACCAAGGAGAAAAATATCAAAGGGAAAAATATGACATAACAGAAATTGAAATAAAATAATGCTGCTGCTTCCCTGTGAAACCAAGAAAGCTAGTGGAAAAGCTTCTTTCAGTCACTGCATGGTGGTGGTAAGGTACTGGTGCTGGCTTTGTACCCTATGCCTGTTTAAAGTCCTATCAAAACTTTCTGAGTCCTCAAGCATAAGTAAACAATGGCACAAATACCCAGCTAATTTAGTAACAGTCGTAAGAAGCTAAAGAAAGATAGAAACTTGAATGAACTCTTTAATGGATGAAGACAGCTACACTGCAAAATCCATATTATCACTGAGAACCCTACTTGGAATGCTCTTCTCCCTGTTTTGAGTTCTTCCTGAGGTTAAATTAATGAAGACGCTCAAGAACCACTGTGATCAAGCCTGTTCTGGCTGGCAGAAGGTATCTTTTGTTCTTTCCCCCTTGGTGAGTAACTACAGTAGCTCAAAATACAGGCATAGTATAAATAAACATTTAACTAAACCAAATGATCTTTATTCTTTCAAGCTGGAGCCCAGCCAAAGGTAAATGAGCTTTGTTGTGCACTACTTTTTTATTACTGTAAATGCAGACATCACTGATGAGAAACTTTCACAAAAAGGCACAGCTTGTATACGTCTTGCCAGCAGCACTGCAGAAACTCAAGGCACAAGCCCCTGACTTATACAAGTCACAGAGGGAGAAATCTAATCCTAGGAATTGAAGAGTGGGTACTTTTTAGATCCTATTGTCAGTAGCCTTTTAAATATTAGTTATTTTGGTGCTAAATAGAAAATAACAATAGATGGCTATCCATAGTAGCCAGCATATACATCATGGGGATTTGGTTTAAAGCTCCAATAAAAATGGCATATTTTTATGACCACGAGAGCCATGAATTAGGCACATTCAAAATTCTTAGACCCTGTTGTTTTAGAGCTGCAAAATGTTCCAGAATCAGCCAAAAAGAGTCTATACAGGCCTGTGAAAGGCAGCAATGGGAGGAAGAGAAGGAGAAGGAGGAGAGGAGGAGGAGGAGGAAGAGGAAGAAGAGGAGGAAGAGGAGGAGGAGGAGAAGGAGGGTCAAAAATTTTTGTGGAATTTGAAACACCAAGGAGTCTTCGTCTACCATATAAAACCTGATTGTGAGGTCTCAGAAACGAATGAACTATTAAAACCAGGATATGCAAAGATTCATGTTATAAACATAAACTCTGGGTTAAGGCTTCCTAACAAGTAGAATTTCTATCCAAAGTTTAGTATTCTTCCTTCTAGTTATTGGCTATATATCCAATACACCCCCTTTTTAAAGGAAAAATAGAATGCTGTACTATTTAGTGAAAAGACCAATTTCACATAAATTGATAGAAAGGAATATATCTTATGGCTTGTACCAGACAACCAGCACTGAAGCACAGGCAGAGGTCAGAAGGCTAGTTGAACATGGTGGACTGGAATCTTACATCACAGCATATTCACACAGGAGATCGTATATAAATACCAAAGGACAAATATACAAATTAAATAGTTCTAAAATATACCACATTTTTTAGAGAAAACAATAAACTGTTATTAGCAACTTATCTTGAATTAACTTTCAAATCAGAATGTTCATGATAACCCTCTCATTTTAAAAGTTTAGGATGAAAATGTTGCCATTTGGTGCCTGGGTGCCTTACTGACAAATAAAGAGGCAAATTTTAAGGTATGTTTATCTTCAGTACACATAGGTAACAGGAGTTTGAAAAAAAGGTATTTAGGTTCCAAGCCTAGTTTCCTGTTCTTGTAGATTTTCTTCTGGAATCATAGTTATAATTTTGTCCCCTTTCACAATCAACCATGCAAAGAACAGCAAGTCATCAAACTTCCCTTCCATTGAAGGAAAAATATTAAACCAAAGACATGGAGGGCAATGTTCAATAATAGCCATGTAATTATCTGTTTATCTATACTTAGTTTCTTTTAGACATTTCTGTAACAGTAGCAGATGGTTATATTCATACACTTAATAAGATTTCCTCCATGTTCTGAAATGCATTAAATGACCTCAAAATATTGCACTTACTACCCATCCTTCCTTTTAGAGAAACTTAAAGTTAGAAGACTTCTTTGCATACTTTTAAATAAAAGTACATAATAAAAAAAGGAACTGAAGCAAAGATGAATTCTAAAAAAAAAAAAATCAACTACATCAGTTTGATTCTATATTTCCTTGAAAAGCAATGAAAGCACTCAGCCCAGGTTTGAGTACACAGAGGGTCATGCTGTAAGTTGCGGGGGGCCTGCTTTTCTTTACAGTTCAAATGCAGGGAACTTGGCTTTCATGGGGACTAGCAGGTCAGCTAGGAAATATATTGTTCCAGCCATTCCTAGAGGAAGAAAAAGAGGCAAATGTTATAACACCAAATGAACCCATTTTATAGAGTGGTTCCAATTTTTAGCTGAATAACCCTATGGTAATGGCAACGATTTAAAGGAAATGGGAATCTGTCTACATTTACACCTTTTGTAGTTCAACATTACAGGAGATCCCTAGTGAGGCTCAACCTTTTTATTCAGTGAGAAGAGGATGGAAGCAAGCAAGTTCAAATCACTGTCCTGTCATTTGCCACATGGGAGACAGCAAGTTACCATGGCACTGTGGCTACTTACCCTTCTGAGCCTCGCTCCTCATCTGTAACAGGAGGATAGCAATTTTTTGTATGTTTTTGCTGACATGACTTAGGATGGCATCTGTGAAATGCTCAGCATACGCCTGGCTTGTGGACAGTAATCACCATTACAACTACGAGGGTTAGGTCTGTGGTACTGCACATGAGCTAAGTGATTTTCAACACTGACTGTCGTATCAGAAAATGAAGCAGTAGTATAAGAAATGACTATAAAATTAATTTTTGATATAACTCAAATTTAAATATACTAACTACTAAGCTGAGAAGTAGTTGATGATATTACAAGGCAAATAAGTAACATGAAAAGTACCTTCGAAGAGGGAGAAGGGGGTGTCTGGTGTCCTGCATCCATGATCTCCATAATCTAAGCACCATTCAGCAAACTGAAAATGAGACCAAGTTAAATTACTGCAGTGATTTCTTCCTGAGACCCTACAAGTTGACAGAGGTTGTCCCTAAGTGTTTAAAACTTATTATCAAGACAGAGCAAAATGATTAAAGCTGAGAAATGGATGGTCTGAAAGAGGGCATACAGCTTGGGAGGAACTGAGTGAGAAGATAACTAAGGTTATCAAAGACAGAAAGGAACAAAATCACCCCACATCTTTCTTTTTTTCTTCCATAAATGCTGCTGAGTACAATTATGCCCTTTAAATTAATTCTAATTCAACTGAGTATCTTTTGAAGATTTTCTTAGAGAACAGGTTTGTTACTTATAGACTCATGGTTTAAAAACTAAATTAGTTGATCAAATAAACTAGAGCATTTTTCAAACTCGTGGAGCAGCTGTTTTCCAGGGGCAGCTTGACTCCTACCTTACAGGCCCTGTACAGGTACTTCATATCCTGTGTAAGGTTGTAGAGTGCCAGGAAGGCATAGGCATTCCCTGCGGCACCATGGCATAGCCCGTATCCCTTCTTCAGCAATCCATATTGCCAGATCACATCAGCACACTTATAGGCGTCACAAAGATACTGCTCTTCTCTGAACACCTGCAGACTCAAGGGACATGAGTTTCATTATAAGGATACAAAAGAAAGTTCTATGGACATGCGTTTCTGCTAGGAAAGGAAGAGAGAAACTGGGGAAGGGCAGAGAGAGAAGTACCTTCCCAAGAAAAGGTAAGAGATTTAGTCACAGAGATATGTTACACTGGCAGTTACAAACTATTAAAGTTGGCTAGCTTTGCTTTTAAAAAAGTTGGGCATGACCTTGTCAGTGTAGTCTAAGTTTTATCTGTATGTGTTTTGTGTACATGGATGTTATTGATGAAGCAGCATATTTAACTTGCAACTTGCTCTCATCATTAGCCACTCTCCAAAGAACACAAGCTAGCTTCTTTTGTAAATTATGATACCCCTCACTATTAAGAAGTTTCTTTACACACAAGGGAAGAAACTGTTAGTTATTAACATGCAAACTAATTATAAAACACTAGGTTTTGTCAGAAAAATGGAGATCAACCTTTATAATATTTGGCTGACTTCTATATCTTGATCAAAGACTTAAGAATATTATGAGCAGTTTTAATACTTCATTGCAAACCAAGCTCTCATAAAAGTGGAACATGATAGTTCAAGAAAGATTTCCATTATAGCTAACTTTCTGAAACACAGAATTTGATATTAAAAGCCTACTTAGTTAAGAAGTGCCAGTGCTATTTATCATCTATAGATTTGTAATTTGTTGATTTGGTACCAATGGTCATATCTTGGTTTACTTCTATTTTTTTCAATTAAAAATCTTTTCTTCTTTAATTGCAGCTCTGCTATAGCAAATATTTTAGGGGTGATATAAGTATTTTTTTATTGTGATAAAATACACATATTATAAGAGTTACCATCTGAGCCGTTTTTAAGCGTAGAATTCAGTGTCATTACATTCACAACATTGCATAAGCAGTATTACTATCTATTTGCAAGACCTTCTCATCATTCTAAACAGGAACTGTACCCATTAAGCAATACATCCCATTCCCCTCTCTCCATCCCAGACTCTGGCAACCTTTGCTTTATGAATTTGCCTATTTTAGTTACTTCATATTAGCCATCACTTCATGTAAGTGGAATCATATAACATGTATCCTTATGTCTAGCTTACTCACTTAGTATGTTTTCAAGGTTGATGAATATTGTAGTACGTATTAGAACTTCACTTATGTAATATTAATTCTTATACATTCATCTGCTAATGGATATTTGGATAAGGTCTACGTTTTCGCTTATTGAGGAGCTGTTATGAACATTGGTATGCATGTATCTATCTGAACTGTTTTAATTTTTTTGGGTCTATACTTGGGACCTGAATTGCTAGATTATATAATTAAATGCTTATTTTTTGAGGCACCATCAAATTGTTTTGCACAGCAACTGTGTCATTTCTACTACTACTAGCAACACACAAACGCTTTATTTTTTAATCTACTTTTGTTTTGAGGTATTGGTACTTCAACTCATGGTCTTATGCTTGCTAGGCAAGTACTCTTCCACATCAGCTATGTCCCCAGTACTTTTTTGCTTTTAGTGTTTTTTTTTTTTTTCCAGATAGTTTCATGCTTTTGTCTGAGCTGGCCTCAGACCATGATCCTCCTTCTTTTTACCTACTGAAAATCTGGGATTATAAGCATGCACTGTCACACCCCAGGTGTGATGGTTAAAAATGAAGGTTCTATTTTTATTTGAGCTTTTGGGATACTAATTTTGGCTTTGCTACTGATGTTATAATCTTGGTTACTCTACCAGTTAGGAAAGTGGCCTTCTGTTCTATAGAATAGTGTCTGCTGTGGTAAAATGGATATTGTGATAATGAACTATAATCCATTTAGCAAAGTAATCTTGGTTCCAACAAGTAATTTATATATTATGCCTTCAAGGATTAAAAAACTAATTTTAAATTATAATTTTTGCTATGTTTTCTAATTTTATTTAATGAGAAAACAAATACACAGTACCTTATAGGCCTGGATGAGCATGTAGATTACTCCAGGGGCACCATGGCACCAGTGGACTAGCAGGTCTCGGTTATCATCCACACACGGAGGGTAATTGCCGGAAGGGAATTTCAGCTGGCAGACAAAGTCTATGCTGGGCTTGACCAAGCTATGTAACTTCATTTGGCTCACTTGAAGGCTGGGCTAATCATGAGAAACAGAATTATCAATTCTGCAATGGACCTTCCTAAGACTCAGTATGAGTTTTAAACCAGAAAAATAACATGAACGAACAAACAAAAATGTGACAAAAAGGACTGGAATGTTATTAAAAGGTTTTGGATTTTGTTCATTTTTTTCATCTACCAGATACCTTTGTTTTATTCTTTTGTGACTTCATTTTATCTTTTTTAAGTAATGGAACAAATTAAAATCGGGTCTTCAGTTAGCTCTTAGGGCCTTTAGCACTTATTATTTTTAAATATTTGTTGTCATCTACATATGTATAAACAACATTCTTAAGTCATTGTTGAGAATGTGAGTTTAAGGCAAAAGTTTAGTAGTTTCGATATCTAAAGCATGCTTTATAAGCCAGCCACAAATAGATGCATCAGACAACCAAGCATGACTTCTATTTTCACATTCAAAGGAGCAGCAGGTGATATTTTTAATACAAAAAGACACTAACAAGTTAGGAGGCCTGGAATCTGAAGCCAAACTACAGCATGACTCCAGATCAAATCTTTCTGCAGAGGATTTAAAACTGACCTACACACAGGATTATTCTGATGCAATGATGTGCAGATATATAAGATGCATTGACATAAGGCATGTAAGCTGCCATTTGTGATACAACTTTTAGTTTCTCTTTTTGGTCCTGTTCTTAATTAAATGAATTGCTCCCTCTTATACAACAATTCAAAGTGGTGTTCTGCCAGGCATAGGGTGGGGATATTGGTGAGGGATGGATAGTGTGTGAAGCACAGGCAGGACAAGTTGCTGGGTGTGAAGCAATGTGAAATAGCTTTCATAAGATTCTGAAAGTAAACAGAGTTCTTGAGGAGACACATAGATTATGCTTTGCATATAGGATAGTGTCCAAATTTAGCTTAAAGTAATAGAACAGGATGAACAAACTTGTAGGAATTATCCAATATGGCCTAAAAATAATATGGTGAATTTTTTTTTTTTTTTTGAGACAGGGTCTCAATATACAGTGCAGGTTGGCCTTGATCTTGTGATGTTCCTGCCTTGGCCTCCTGAGTGCTGTAAGTGTGTTCCACCATGCCTGGATTATTTTATGTTTATACATAGGTGCCTATTAGAATGAGCTTTCAGGATTAAAAATTAAATAACTTCAAGTAAATAACCTGAAAATGGAAAAGTCAATACTTAGGTTTTCAGCTTTCTCATTATAGCTAACAGAAAGAGGCAGAGCAGAAGGTATCTCTTGATTACCTGTTTTAATGAAAGGTCAATAAGGCCATTCAGTCACCGACACACATTTTAGCTCACCTTGAACTTCAGAAGACAACCAATTCTCTTTTCCTGAAAACTTAAGAATCTACATGTACTTCTGGAAATAAAGAGCCATGGAAGGAATGTGCCAGAAAAAAGAATGTAAGTCTAAATTGTCAAAAGCTCTACTTACAAACTTTCTAATTGAGAAGTACAGAATAAATACAACAAACAGTTGGCCTCTAAGCATCACTACTACTCAAAGTTTGACTGCATTCAAAAGCATAAGAGTCTTGAGTCATTATTTAGTTACAGGCAGGGGCAGGTCTGGCACTAATTTTGCATCACCACAGCCAGCTATTCAGCTGGCTGGTAATATGTATATCCAAGTCCTCATGTTGAACATATTAAAACCCCTTTGCTTTATGTCACACTGTGTTGGGAAGGTTTGGTTGGAAGGGGGTGGTGGTACCTCTGCTGCCATTAAGAGTCGATTTTATTTTGCAATAAATTCTTATTCATAAGTCTATTTGACTTCAGCTGAAGTCTCCCAACATTAACAGAACCTAAGGTCTACTGGGCATAGCACATTCAGCTATTTTTCAGTAAGTTACACAAAATCACTGGACTCTCCTTAGCTTTGTTCTAAGTAAGCCTTAGGCAACACGTGCTCATTTGATTTCTATTGATCCTGCTTTTTATTCCTGCAATTAGTTTCAATGGCTTGTACCTTATAATATGGAATGATATTCTTAATTTAAAGGCATTTGCTGAAACAGAAGAGTGAGAGGGCCCTTCACGTAGAATTGGAGGTCAAAATACTTGAGTGTGCACAAGTGGCACTAGGTAGACAACGATGGTTCACCTACAGATCAGGCATGATCTAAAAGACAGTGCTTTTTATGTTTATACAACTTAAAATATACTTGGGCAAACTGTACCTTTGCTTGCGTAGGGCAAGTGAGTGCAAGGAGTGTGACGCAGTGGGTGACAGGACAAAAGCCAGCTGCAGGATTTGCTTCACAACACACCACAGAATATGTGTCAGGCAAGCATGCTTTAAACCTCACCATTCTCATCCCTTACCTGCATCAGGTAGTAATAAATTCCTGCCAGGCCATGAGCAGCCCCCACGTAATATTCCTGGTACCACTCATACATCAGTGGAGACTTTGCTGTGAAGTTTCTTTTTCTAGCTAGATTTTCTCCAGAGGTTAAAATTGTTTCACAAATCTGCAGGGAGAAAGCAGGCCAAAAGAACAAGATAATTAGAAAAAGCCTTCTTGGTGGAGATAAGGAACTTTTTGCTAAGAGGTACTGAAGAACTAGTGATGAACTAGACACCATCTTCTGGCCAGGAAACGGCACACTTCACCCTGCTTCAGAGAAGTGAGTGTGGGTGTGACTGTATTCTGCCCCAAAAAAGCGAGGGTAGGGAGGAAGGTCTTGAAGTCACTTCATTAGTGCTTCAAGCATCCACGGGTCAGAGTGGGTGTGGCTCCTCAAGTGACAGAACACCTGCCTAGCAAGCACAGGCCCTGAGCTCAAAGGGTCAAGGGGAAGCACTAACTCCCTCAGGCACAGAAGGAGGTCTCTGCCTGTGGGAGGTGAGACCTGGCCCCACCTTCCTTTGTAAAGGCCTCTGAACTCTCCATGGACTGGGAATGACTTCTGACTCCAGGCCCTTCCTACAGGGCTTCTGACAATGCTCGGTGTGAAGCAGCTGGTTCTCTGAATATGCCTGACCTTTAGAGGTCAAGACCCACCATCCTTCTACTTGGGCTATGCTAATTGGAGAGACAAAGACACTAGTTGTAAGTGGGATTCTAAAAAGATTCCTAATAAGCACAAAAACTGGTTACCTGCTGAATATGGCTTTGAGGAATCTTTTCCTCTCCAAAGTTCTTATTGATGAAAAGAAGAGCATAGATGTAGCCTATTCGTCCATAAAGCATTTCATTTGGAACATGGGGATCAATCTTATTCAGGTGAATCAGCCTAGGAATAGAAATATATGCCTAAGATAACTGGAAAGGGATCATATATAAGTATACTTAAAATGGAACATAAAAACACATACACTGACACACACAGGTATATAAAATCAGGTTCAGAGATTAGCCCTCAATTAGATTTCTTTTGGTTATAATAGAAGTATTAAAAAATTCTAAGAATGAAAAATTACAAGTATGTGGCTAAGGCTATCTAGATCCTCCCTCTCTCCTCACGAGGTGGCCTTTAATGCATGCTTACAGTCTTAGGATTAGTTGGGGTCAGACAAACCAAGAACTGCTCGCAATGATGACATTTAGCCCAGAAAAAAGAACCAAGGCAACACTCAAAAAGCCATCTACTTCCATAAAATGAAATGCTTGCCGCATTCCACTTTTCTCCTTCCTTTATGTGCCCACAGGGCTGTGTGAAGTACCTGTACAGCAGCTGACCTACCACAATCAATATGGCACAAAGGTATCCGTTGGTTTTCCTGCCTTCCTAGTCTCACAGCCTTCTAGTTCTTATCTTCAGAAACAACCTTGGTTACCATTTTTTTTGTCTGTTTTCCTAGATTTGTTTTATGCACATCTAAGCACAAATATACATATTTATAAATATAAATATATTCCCCAAGCATTCTGCAGGATGCTGTTTACCATCATGCCTTTACAACCATTCCTTATTGGCACATGCAGGGTACTCTCATTCTTTATAAGCTGTAGAGTAGTATTCCATTAAGTGGATGTATTATAACTTACTAGGGTACCTTTTGATAGACTCAGCTTTATAATGTTATCTTTGGTTCTGGTTCTAGGTAAGGTGTAGTATAAGCACACTCTGCCCTGTCTCTTCCCCTAAATGGAGCTCCAAAACCTAGATAAAATATTTGAGGACTCTAAAAAAGGAGATAGCAGCAGGCAAACAGGGAGTAAGGACCAAAAATTGAATTACCATCAAAGTGGGGAGGGGGGCAAGTTTACTATATTTTCCTCTCTTGTATTCCCTTGGACTGAACTCAGTACAGCCAAAAGCCTAGAAGTAGGCACCAGGAGCTGATAGTGAGCCAGAAGCAACCTACTGGTTCTGTCATAAAGAGGAACAGGAAAGGGAACTCCCAATGTCAGGGAGAGTAGGCAAAGCCCATTTTCCTCCTCAGTTCTCTTATGCCCAAGGCCACTTCGAGCAGAAGCAAAGGTAAGGGAACCCACAGGAGCCAAAACTCTGAGGGAGGAAACTTTACTCACAGATTTGAAGAGCTGTGGTCCCAGGAGGGATGGTGAGCCCTCCCGTGTCACCTTTCTATACCCTGGACATCACCTGGTCCCAGAGGCAGACTCACTGAAGAGTAACAAAAATCCAACTTTCTTGCCAAGGGACCAAAGGAAGCCCCAGAAAATCAGAAGGTAGGGAGAGAGCACAGAGGAGGATAAACTTGGAAAAGAAATTATAGTTGGTAATTTGGACTCTGAGAATAAACTTATTTGCCTTTTGTGGGGGGATGGGGCAGCAAATGTGATGGAGAAAATGTCTTTGTTATTTATATTTTTTATTACCTAGAATTTTGAAAGTGCAGCTCAGTTTTTCCTAAATCAGCTTATGAATTCAATCTATTCCCATTTAAGTAATTAAAACATTAAAATTTTTTGGTAAAACTTGGCAAAATGGTATTAGTGTAAAGAGTGAGGGAATTTCTGGAAAACCAAATATTATCACTAGCTTATGACACTAAACATACTATTTAATCTTTGTTCTTAAAACTTTCCATCTACAAGAGAAACAGTCCTGATTTTAAAATTCCATTTGCTGTCTGTGTGGAAATTTACTTCTAAGTAGCTAGTATACATAGTGTGCTGTGCCTCACATGTATGCCATCTAACTTTATTCTGCACATTAGAGGGGTTCACTAGCCCTTGAAGTATCAGAGCTCACACTTAGGGGTGATAGGTTGTATGTGAAATTCTCTAATCAGGAGTCAAATTCAGAGAGTCAGCACTCAGACAACTTCATTAAATCCACACCACTGCATTTGTTAATATGTGTGGTATTGACTGTTAGAAAATGGCTTGCTCTACAGAATCATTATTCAGAACAATTACTGCATCAACTCCAGTGATATCCCTACCAAACTAAAATGCTGGAGATAACTGTATTAGAGAACAATGCTCCTTTACTAGCCAATGTTTTCACTTACACTACCACTAGGTGGCGAATTAGCATTTCACTTATTATGCAGCCAAACTCATTTGCCTTTGGGCTGTTTAAAGCAGGGTAGCAAATACCTTTCAAACACTTAATAAAGTATTGGTCAGAGCGAGCATTTCATTATAACAACAGATTTAGGGTAATAGGGAAATATTTAATTTTTCTTCCCCCCTGTATTTGAGGAGAGGTTTTTTTTTTTTGTCATTTCTTTTTTGGTGCTGGGATCGAACCCAGGGCCTCACGCATGCTAAGCAAGCGCTGTACCACCAAGCAACATCCCAGCCCACCCCCCTGTATTTGAAAGAACTAGTGCTAAAACTTACATGTTGGCTCTGATTACCAAAGGTAGGACCTGTAACTGCATGTTTTACCTGCTACATTCTCAAGATAAAGAAATGATAGCATTTATAAATCATAATGGTTATTTTATGTGTTTTCAAAGAGTCTCAAACCCACGGAAATGTTGTGGCAGCTCCATTTATTTTTTTTGATATGTTGAAATTAACAGCAACCAATCATTAGAAGAGATAAGCAAGTCATTGAGCTGTCACAGGAAGAATAATAAAGACATTTAAAAATAGGATAGTTCTGTTCCACTCCTAGTAATATTTCCCCAGGGTGTTATGGGGAGAGTTATTTTGCCCTGTCTTATATCAAAAGGTTTGTAATGTTAAAAGAAAGAAAGAAAGAAATGTTTTTTTGACCCATCACACTGCAAAGGAGGGAGGTTCTTCATCATTCTAAGTATTGATTCCAAAGCACTATATATGTCAGGTTGGTCACCTAATTGGGTATAAAACAGGCAATGCTCTTTTTTGTGTTGTGGCACCAATATCTCTGTGCAGAAGGAAAGGTAAGACTATTATATTAAGACATGTGGAATATGACGTTATCAGTGGCATACAACACAGACACTCAAAAGGGGTGTGATATGAGGAAGGTTTGGTAAAAAGCAAAACAAATAAGTAGGTTTATCTGATACATGATAAGCTGGGCACTGGAGGCTCACACATGGAATTCTAGCTACTTGGGCAGACAAGAAAGGGAGATCGCTGGCAAACAGTTTGCAAGACCTCATCTCCAAAATAACCAGAGCAAAATGGACTGGAGACATGGCCCATGTGGTAGAACTCCTGCTCTGCCAGCAAGAAGCCCTGAGTTCAAACCCCAGTTCTACCAGAAAAAAAAAAAAACATGATTACATCCAATAATTTTGAATTTTTAGAATCTGAACTCAAAAGGATTTAAAATTTTTATTAAAAGGGAGATATGAAAGATTAAACAAGTACTGTAATTTATAAATAATTCTCGTTTTGTTCTGCTATGCTCTCTAAAAATCTGAGATGTCAAAGCTATGGTCACAAAGAGCATATTTTCTGATCATATATCTATCTACATTCTATGTTTTTAACTTTAACAAGGCTACTGACTAAATATTAAATATTATAAAAATTTTAAAGATATAAATAATAAAAACATCTTTATTACCAAGGCATCAAAAAAAGAAAAATCTAGCTTACTCTTCAGAGCATTTTAATTTTCATAAACCAGTACTGATGTCTGGTACCAATTCTGAAGAGTGTCTCTGAGAAGTGGCCCTCAGGGTGAGAGCATGGTCATCTATGTAAGTTGGCAGATGCTGCTTACTCAAGCTGCAGTGGTTGCCCACCCACAGAAGTTACTGAAGACTGGGAGCACACAGGAATGTGTATTTACCTAGTGCTGAATACAGACTCCAATCTGTTTAAATGCCTAGCCTTGAGTTCAAACCTCAGTACCACCAAAAAAAAAAAATCCCCAAACCCAAAACTTTGTTTTCACTGAATACCTACTAATGGCACTCCGCGCATAGCAAATCATTGCTCTTTGGCAATCCTTTCATATTTCAGGAAAGGATGACACTATGTTAAATTACTGGGGCCACTACAGTTTGATAGCATTTAAAAGTAATTCACTGAATGAGACTATCTATGGACTTCATGTGCCAAATGGCTTTAAATTGGCCATGCAAAAAATATAAAAAGGGAGTTTCTGTGATTCAAATTTAACTATGGAACAATTTTTGTATTGGCTGGTCTTATGCACGTCAACTGCATGTAAGGAAAACACTTTGATTAAACTTTTGTGAAAATCATGTTTTGTATCACCAGCCATGTTGGTCAAGTTTGGTGATAAGTTTTATATTAAATACTTTTAGTATAAATACTTTTATATTAAATATTGAAGAGGAATGTTCATAGTTTTTTCTTCTACAATACTAAGTAATTTGGTTTTTAGTTTGAAGTTGTACTATACAATTTCTAGCCTCTTGATAGATGTAATATAATTACATATATAAAAATGTCAATTCATAAAATGATTTACAGTAACAATTCACAAATGATTACAAAAGACTCCTTGGTCTATCCACCTCCTTCCCTTTCCAGTGGAAAGTTAGTCACAGGAAGAAAATTTCACTGTATGGGAAAAAAAAAAATTGGTGGAGGGATAATTTGCAAATGTGTGTGCTTACGCAAATAATGTAAACATGCTTAAACAATAGGGGCGTGGATTTCTTCTTTAGATACAACACAGTCATAACTTACAAAGTTCAAAAGGCCTGGTGATGCATTTCCACACGTACAATCAGCCCTTGGGATTTGGGACTGGTTCTAGAACCCCCAGTGGAAGTTGAAATCTGTAGGCATTCAAGTCCCTCCTATAAAATGGTGTATTAGCATATATGCATATCTTCCATATATTTTAAATCCTCTCTAGATTACTCACAATACCTAATACACTGTAAATGGCAAGTAAGTAGTGACACTGTTCAGGGACTAACATGAGAACGAAAGTCTGCACAGGTTCCATACAGAAGCAACTTGTTTCTAATATTTTTGATCCATGGTTGGCTCAATCTGTGAATGTCAACCCATGGATATGGAGGGTCAACTGTGTAAGATTAACCAAGGGATCCTCAACAAACTAAATCAGTGATGCTAATGCTCTTCTAACAATAAATTATGGGAGAGAATAGTGGAAATAAAAAATCATGGTCCACTCAGGGACAGTCACCGACAGGAATGATGCTGGAACTGCTCTTTCCACCCGTTGGCTTTCAGGAGCTCAGTGGAAACCTAAGGGCCTTGCACACAGAGCAGCCAACTTTCTTAGAAGAATTCCTAAGAATGCTCAATAAACTCTAGTAAGGCAATGACTGCAGTTTATGTGCACAAAAGTTTAGTAAATTCTCCACAACTGATGTAGTTCTAGTTGATGATTTGCTAGGTTGTTTGTTTTGGCAGCATTGGGGCTTGAACTCAGGGCCTCAAGACTGCTAGGCAGGCACTCTACCACTTGAGCCACTCTGCCAGCCTAGTCCTTGATTTGTATTCAAAATGAAATCTGGATGGGTATGTCATCCCTCCTAAGAAAGGCCATCTTTCAATCAGTTGTGGTCCCTTAGGAGGCCTTTCCCAGCACTCCTTCCCCTGTAAAAAGGGAACTATATTCCTATGAGTTCTGATCCTGGGTAGCACTATGGATCAGTGATCACATGATTAGGCTTTTGATATGACTTGTTACTGAGCTGATGTTTAATGTGGAACATGATAGCATTTTATATCTTGCAATAAAATAGAGATTATGATGGTTATTCCTTGACTACAACATAGAAATGAGAACTGATCAAATGCAGGAGTAAGATTTCTCTACTGAGAGAAAAGTAAACTCTCCAGAATGTTCTTTTGCTAATATGTGCAGAATGCATAATGATGTCGAGGTAATAATCCTCACAAAGAAACGTAAGTACCGTGTGATGCAATCCTCTGCCTGCTTCTCACTGTTCATCTTGTGATACACCACAGCGGCCACTGACAGGGGGCCTGCATCCCCACACAGGAAGGTGATGGAACGCTTGCTCAAACAGTTCAGGCTTTGCTTCACATAGCCATGTGCCATCTGCAGGTAGGCAGGGTCCCCGAACACTTCATAGAGATGTAAGTAAAGCATAGCAATACCTGGAAAGGAAAAGAAAGCAATGAAAAGATGAGGAAAGGGGAATCGACTTTATTATTTCAGTATGCTGCCTCCTTAGCAGTGTTGATTTACGATAAGCTGCAGCAATGTGTAAATTATTTACAAGTTCAGTTTACTTTAGGTCCAGACTTAGCTTTGTTGCTAAGCAGCTCAAACAACAAAGTATAGGCAATCACTTACTTATCCTCAGTTTCCTCATAATTACAACTCTATTAAATAATAAGGAGTCTAAGACTTTGGCCAATAAAGAAACACATAATCTTTTATTCTTTTTAAACTCTGGTCATTGTGTTAATGTGCTAATATGGCACATGCTAGGCAAGTGCTCTACCACTGAGTCACATCTTGGGCCCAGTGTATTATTTTTGATGGCTAATTGTTAGGTTATCAAACTACAATTCCAAATAAATAGTCATCTATTTAATGAAAACTTATTTAATTAATAATAAAAAAGAAATGGTTTATCCTTGTGACCTAAACAAATTCAGAGTAGAAAATGAAAAACTCCATTTATCTTTACACAAAAGATAATTGTTTTTGTGCATGAGAGGGTACTTTGTGTAACCAAATTCCATACCCTACTATCCTTCCCAACGGGGATTGTAAGAAAATTTTCTGACATCTGAGAAAATGCATTCAACCCCTCTTTAACTGCAATGTAAGAGCTGTCAGTGACTTTTGCTTTGGGTCTCATTCGATTTGCTTCTTGACCTCCTCTGTATGTAACTGAGGCACTATCTGCATGTCCTTATGTCAAATGCCTGTCACAGTAGGCAGAGCCTTTCCTCTGAAGCCAAATCGTCTCAGAGTAGCTTCAAAGACAGGGAATCTGCCTGCCTGCAGCACTTCCAGAAATTCCTTTTCTCCTTAAAGCACATTTTCCATCTCATTTACCATTTTTAGAAGACACAGAGCCTCTGTTTAAATCTAAATTAATAGAGCCAATCTCTTCACGGATTTCAATGCAGTAAAAATATAGTCTGCAAAATTACTTTTCACTGTACTGAGGACAATTTTAAATTTAGGTAGTTTTCTCATTTTGCATGGGTAATCTCCAAAGCTTTGTGCTATAGACCATTCAATTTCACATGTATATTAAGGCCAAATTTTCATTTCCTGCCAAAGTTAATAACCTTGTCTGCTTTTTCAAAGTGGCTTGGTGTTAGTAATTCCACAAGCTGATGATCAGATGTACCGATACTTAAGTTTTGTAGATGAGTATACAAAACCACGTACGTGGGTAAGAGAAAAAAATCTCCTTTTCACAAATGATCAATGTCAAGAGCTTCTTCCAGAATTGGGTCCTTAATAGGCTTCACCTCCACCCGCATCACGCACCTGCTGGCAATCCATTTAAGTTGTTACTCTTTCATTTTGCCCTCCTATTCCCACTGCTGCTGGAACTCCCCTAATTAAGTTATGTAAGCACCAAAGCCAGATAATGGCATGACCAAGATCTGAGAAAATAAAAAGTGATTAAATACAAGCCCACTGATTGTTTTCCTTTTCAGACCTTCTTTGCTCAGTTCAAAAATTCCTCTTGGCTTAAATATTTAACAAATAAAACCCATTAAAACTCATAATGATAAGATTAGATTTTTTCATATGAAAAACAGGTATTGACTTCTGAAGTCACCTATTTCACTTTTTTTGATCAGTAGAGTTTCTAGGATTCCACATCCTTAGGTTCCATTTCTCTCCTTGCTCTTGCTCTGGGCCTGTATTTTGTGTTACATTTTGATTAGGGATCTTCTGAAGGTTGCAGCTCTGGTGTCCTGTTACCCTCCTGTTACAAAGTACCCATGGATAAAATAAAAGGGGATGACTGTTGCTGGCAATTTTCTCATACATACATACATACAAAGCAGCCTAGGTCAGGAAAATAAAACAGAATGCATAAATCAAAGATATTTCATGCCTTATCAATACTCTAATTCAGTAACAGAAAAAAGTGGAAAAAATGCCTGTGGCCAAATATCTCTATCATTCTGCTCACCCAATCCTTGACAGTAGTCATCCCTGTAACATCACCTTTGCATAAAACTCGAAGACTTAAAGATGCCTGGCAAAGTGGGGTGATAAAGAAGTCTTTGAAATGCAACTTGTATCAACATACATATGCTCTTTGGGCAAAATGTCATACAGTACTGCAAGACTCAAAACACAAAACACCAATCCCCTTCTTTACCCCATTCCTACCTCTCAGTGGCAATTATTTTCAATGATGTCATCATCCATTTTCTCTATTATTTGCCTCCAAATTTCTACTGAAATGTTTATGTGCCATTTGTTGATTTTTCTATTTCAGACATTTTTGATTGACATTCTACTGTGGAATATGAAGATTTAGCTTTTGTGATGAAATAGACTTGTAGGTGGTCCCCTAAATGACTCTGGAAGTCATGAATTAAGATGGGGTGTCCCAAATACTTTATTGATCACATTTAATGACTTTAGAATTCATGGAGAACGAATGTATGATTAAATTTTGTTTTACTCATTTGTCAGCATTTGTCTCTCTCTCTTTTTCCAATGGTATTGGGGGTTGAACAGAGGGTCTGCCATGCAATTGGCAGACACACTATCACTTGAGCCACTCCACCAGCCCTTTTCCCTTAACAGTAAGGCTCTGGATCTTAGCTGGGCACATGGCAGAATAGTTTTCTTTGCACTGGGTGTGGTCCATGGCTAAGCTCCAACCAACGGGATGCACAGAGTGCAATGAGGACAACTTTGGAAATGTCCTTGAAGGGAAGGGACTTGAGGGGATGACTGAGAGCATGATGTCAAGATGCTCCCAGATGTCTAACTTCAACAGCTGGCTAGGCAGTGGTCCTGTCTACCACCATGGCAATGCCTGCAAGATACCAGGTGTGAGAGGGAACACTATAGTGTGTCCACGCATAAACTCATCCCAAATGCAACTCTAGTCTCTAAAGGGCACTTAATATACTGAGAAAACACACTTCTAGGATGACAACCACAACTGGTAGGGAGGTCTGACACAGAGTTAACCACAGTTTCATCTTCTTAATATTTCCTTCTTCTTTTTTTTTTAACCACAGAATATGCTACATTTTAAAATGTGATGAAAGCCATTTTTAGTCCAATGCATTCTCTGGCTAACATCTCTGGCTAATAGATAAAATTTTCTTGCACACAATTTTTAAGCAAAAACTAACAGAGATATATATACTTCTTTCTTCTCTTTGACTGAGATTGAAATTCTGACTGCATTTAATTGTAAAAATATACTCCAAACTGCTTTACATTTTAGATTTTTTTAAAAAGTGAAAGCCTTCCTGTTTTAAATCTGGATAAATTTTGACATTTTCATTACTATAAAATTTAGGTTAAATATTGTTCTACTTCTTCCTTTGTCTCTTCCATGATAAATATTGTCATTAAGCTATGAAAATGAAGGCTTTCTGCTCCGAATGTTACTGTCATGCTAGATTTGCTCAAACATACATGACTTACACATGTGAACATATTTTAAAAGACAAAGTAATATACAAGGAGACAGATATGAACCAGGTGTGATGGCTCAAGCCTTTAATCCTAGCTACTTGGGAGGCAGAGATCAGGAGGAGGATTGTGGCTTGAGGTTAGCCCAGGCAAAAAGTTCACAAGATTCCATCTCACTGCTGGGGTGCAGTGGCATGCATCTGCCATCTCCAGGTACACAGGGAAGCACAAATAGGAGGACCACAGTCCAAGCCTGCCCAGGTACAAGGTAAGAGCCTATCTCAAAGTAACCAACACAAAAAGGGCTGGCAGAGTGGCTCAAGTGCTAATGTGCCTGCTGAGCAAGTGGGAGACCCTCTGTTCAACCCAAAATACCACCAGAAAAAAAAAAAAAGAGAGAGACAAATGCTGACAAATGAGTAAAGCAAAATTTAGTTATACATTAGTTCTGCATGAATTCTGAAGTCATTACAGGTGATCAGTGAAGTATTTGGGACACCCCACCTTAATTCTGTGTTACCCAAAACAGTCAGTGATTCCCTATGCATTTCAGGAGCAGCTGGACTCAAAAGACTACATGTGAGTTGCTCTTCATTAAAATAAAAGAACCTACTTCCTTTGTAGTCTAAGTAGCCAGAAGAAGCCCAGATACCTATTACTTTGATCTTACAAATTCTGGAGCCTGTTTCCCTGCCCCCACACCACAGTGTCCAATACACCATAGCCTCCAATCATCAGTGTCTGTAGAAACTTAATTTAAAAATCTAGTTTCTCAGTCCCACTAGTTACATTTGAAATGCCCAACAAATGCATGTGTGCAGTGGCTGCTGCAATGGACAGTATAGCACCATTCCCATTGCTGCACTGTGTTCTGAGCAAAGTGCTGCTCTGAAGACCAGCCACAAGTATCATTCTGCATAAAAACTTCAGAAGGGGGCACTGGCTCATACCTCATTTCTTGATTTTGAACTGCTGATAACTAATTCACTTTAAAGAAAAAAATACCCCAAGAGGACCAATAAGACATTGTTGTTAATAGGCACCAGACCTGACTTGAGCATGAGAGCTCTGAACCAGATTGTCCTACTCTGTTTCTGATTGCTCTACTGTTTCCCTGTAGAGCTACTACTCTGCAAAGGGAGGGTAAACTGTTCAGGGACACTTCTAAATTTGCAGTTGCCTTACTCAGCTACTTATTCCTAGCAGAACCCTAAATACAGCCAGCTGTTGGGAAGTAATTAATACTAAGCCTTTGAATTTCTGAGGGATCATTAGTACTATTCATCTTGACCAATCAAGACCTAGCTGTGTCTCAAATGTATATAGAGATGATAAAAATCTCCACAAATATATGAACCTCAAGAAACACTTCTCAGTAATTCTGCATTGTAGAGTTAACTCCTTAACAGTTTTAACTTACTTCAGCTAACAGTGGTATAAAAACTGTTTGCGATGGTATCTGAGCTCTATAAGGTAATGAAATGCCTTGTAGTCAGGGGTTTTGAAAGATTCC